TATTTTGACAAGTGATATCTGATTGTTCAGGAAAGGTGGATGTGTGTTTCTCTTAGATATTACAAGCGATTTCTATATTTTATATCATTAAGGGTTGCAACTGCAACGCTTAATGATACACCGGTGTGTATCATTAAGCGTCGAATATGTCGATATTTGCTTGTTTCATTAAGCGTCGATGTTGCACTGCATTTGTGACGCTTAATGATATAATTCTATCATTAAGCGGCGATTTAGCATTAGCGGTTGATGATGTCAGCTATTAATGCAATAATTTATGGCATTAAGCGTTGCAATTGCAACGCTTAATGCTATTTCTATCATTAAGCGGCGTTTTATCATTAGAGGTTGCTACAATCCTCTCCTCTATAACGAAAGCTCTAACCATTGCTCTAACCACTGTGCCACGCCAGTGACACATTACTCAATGTAAATAGCTTTTTAACTTAAACCTAGGAATTGTAAAATTACCAATGCATTACAGCTTATTCATATTTGAAATGATTTTCAATAGATCAGTTAAATTTAGTTCCAGAAATCCATCCTAGCCTCTATTTAAAGGTAAATCATTGAATAGTTTTGTAGTTTTAAAATAAAAAGTATTTCAGTTATGTAGCCATATTTTTTTTTATGTTTTATGAGTTACTGGTACCATAATAAGCAATCCCAATAATATAAGTGCTCTATAAAAATAAATTTATCCTTCTGTATCCACAACCATGATAGCATTAATTATCACTTGATATACATGTTCATAAGATGGCCCCTCTTTACCAGTCTTGAAGACCTAGACTACGCATATTGACTTGGCGCTACTATCACATCTGGAAAAGCATATGCAACGTAAAACATCAAAATTACAGAGAAATGCAAAAAAAAAATTGGACTAAAAATCAATACCAGGAAAACAGAAGTTATGTCATTAAACACCAAACAACTAGCAAGAATACAGGTTGATGGAAATGACCTGAGCAACACAACAACATTTACCTATCTTGGCAGCATAGTAACATCAGATGGGAGTGCAGACAAAGATATAAAGGCCAGACTAAGTAAAGCTAGAGGTGCCTTCATCAACCTCAAGAAATCTGGAAATCAAATGACATAAGTAGAAGGACAAAAATAAAAATCTATAATAGCTGCGTCCTATATGTCCTACTCTATGGGGCCGAATGCTGGGGAATGACAGGAGACATATGCAGACTTTCTAGTTTCCACAAAGGATGCCTCAGAAAGATCGTGAGGATTTTCCTGGCCAAATAAAATTACCAATGTGGAACTCCATGAGAAGGCCAACACAGACAACATGCGAACATAATTGTTGACTAAACGAAGATGGCGATTGATAGGGCATGTGTTGAGGAAACCAGCCGACAGCATCACTAAAGTAGCCCTTAAATGGACACCGGAAGGGAAGAGGAAACCTGGTCGACCAAAAACCACCCGGCGAAAACTGTTGAAAAAGAAATGAGGGACCAGAAACTAACTTTGGGAGAACTGCAGAGAAATGCTCAAGATAGAGAGAAGTGGAGAAATATATTCCTCGTCCCATGTGCGCGTGTGTATAACAAGGACTAGGTAGGTATATATGTTCATAAAATGGGAGACTAAGAACTTTGATACATGCGCACTAGCATTAAGAGATTGCCAATCACCAAATATATCCTCCTTCACCTGTTTTTATGCAGGTTTAGAAATGAGATTGGAATTATTTACATTTCCGTTCTACTTTGATGAACGTTCATGGTATTTCAGTCGGTAGAGCGCTCGCTCCGTGATCGGTAGGTCTCGACTGACCAAAGTCGATAAAAATGGGTAGCATTTAAGTGTTACTTCGCCATGCTCTCTGCACTTTGAATTACAAGTTGCAGACCCTTTGGATGAGACCTGAAAAACTGAGGCCCGGTGTCACGATATGTGTTGGCACGGAGAGAATCCCTCAATGCTCAATGACCCTGAGTGCCGAGTTTAGGTCAAAATTTTAAACCTTTAACTATTATATTTGTGACTTCTCGACATGAGTGAAAAATTACCGAATAGGACGTAAAACTATATACAATAAAGCGATCAATCAATCTATGTTGATGTGATAATTTCTGAAATAACATACACCGTAGGACTCCCATTTTTCATACTAATCGTTAGTCCATTATGTATACATGAAATTGACAAATTTGTCCGTTACTTCTTGATCACGACAAAAAGCACACGGCTGGTGCGACCGGTCGACAGGGGATGCTCACTCTTCCATGGCACCTGATCCCACCTTTGATGTTTTGGAGATCCGTGTTTGCTCTGCTCCTATTTTGTATTGTTTTATGGACTTATGATCTTGAATGCTGTTCGTTATATCCAAATGTTTCCTTTCAAAATGTTCTTATTGTTTATGTTGTATTTCATATCCAGTGGCAGCAGGGGCTGTTTTAAGTAGTATTCAAGCTTCCCAGTTTGGATCAGCATTTGCAGTAGATGGTGTGACAAAATGCGGAGTATATAAATTACCTCACAGCATGGCTGAATTCAGTCCGTGGTTAAGAATTGATCTGGCCAATACTACCAGCGTATCAAAAGTACTTGTATACAACAGACGTGATTGTTGCGGTGAGTTTTAATTTTTTCCCTTTCGAACTTTATACTGTACTGTAAGTTTTATATTTCTTTTTTTCCATGCTGGTTATTGGTTACACGAAAAAGCTGTCTTTGAATGAAATGTGTTATGTTGGTTCTGAAACATCATTTAAATTATTTTTTATGAATTCTTTCAACGAATTTTGACAAAAATAGTAAATGTATTATGAAAATCCAGGTAAAACTTGAGCCAATTTTAACATAAAATTTTAAAAATACCTACACATTTCTATAATATATAAATGATCTTTCCTAAATATGTATATTATCTTTGACCTATCTGCATGAATTCAGCAAAAGTGTAAGATTTAAAAAAAAAATTCTAGCTTTTTAAATTTTTAATGCCAGAAAAATCACATTTTGTGAATGCAGAAAGGTCAAAAAATTGATTATACAAAACGATTCGAATTTTTTTCTAAATCACATTTTTTAAGTGCATATTTTTAAATTGACTTATTTTGTTCCATGCTTTGTTTGGAAAAAAAAATCATGGAAAACGTCAAAGATGTAATGTTTTATTAAGATAGCAGTGCACAAAGGTCATATTTAAATGTACTGTATTGCCAAAAGAGGCATACAATGTATTGACCCCCCATTTTCCGATTTGATTTTTAATCAATTTTTGATTTGATTTTTAATTAAACACGCTTTCAAAGCCAAATTTTAACTTTAATTTCTTTCCTCTTTATTTAAAAAAATATCCCTTTCTTTGAATTTACTAAAGGCATGTATGTATTTCTCTCTACATAAAAAAAAAAATCCTTCAACGTTTTTTAAATCACAATGTAAAATCGGGCTTTGATTGGCCAAAGAACATAGACTTCATTGTAATGTTTAGGAACATTAAAATTATATGTTCATATATTGTAATAATTTAATTTTGTTTGTATTCTTGCCTCTCATTGGTTGATTTCCAAAAAGGAACGCATAACATTTTGTATAATCTGGTTTGGTATGGGGACACACCCCCTTGACAACCAGCTGAATCATCTGTATCCATCAATCCCCTCATTTCCAGTCCTTGGGATTCATAGAAAATTCCAGATTTGATAAATGTACCTTTAACTTCAAACACTTGATCGATCTTACCTCATGTAAACAAGCATCATGGCTGCTAGCTCTATGTATCAGTTTTTACCTCCCCTCGCTTCCCATCACTTCCGTTACTACGGTTGTATTATTGCGCGGTAAATTTGAACTCATAAAAACAACACAATTTTACATCCCCAGTTGTTTAATTATTTTAAAATTAAATTATAAGGAATGACTCTAATTCTTAGCCAAATTATCGAGTATAATATGGTTTGGGTCAGTTTACGCTTTTTTATAATCCGCTTCGCGTATTATAAAGCGTAAACTGACCCAAACCAGGTTATAATCGAATAATTTGGCCAAGAATTAGAGTCATTCCTTAACTAAATTACTGTAAGTATTTCAGAGCTAGAGTAATCATTCTTAATCAAATAGTAATCTATATAATAATTTCAAGAGTTATCTTTTTATTTGTAAGTCCGGAGTTATTTTTCCTAACTTCTTCACTTCCTGTGTTAATTTCCTTTGTGTGACCCACACAATGAGACCCTTGCCGTTTATCTTGATTTTTTTAAATTAAGCTGCCATACACTGTAAGTAAATATGTGCTGTTTATGGTTATTACACGTATATTTATTATATTCAAAGTGTTTTTGTATGAAATGTTTGTAATTTGTTTATTAGAATAAGGATATGGAGATAACGAACAGTTTACAATGTCAAAATCCATCAATCAACACAAAATAGGGACAGAGCAAAGACGAACCTCAGAAACATCAGAGGAAAGATCAGGTGCCACGGAGGAGTGAGCATTCCCTGCTGACACCCGCCGTGTGCCTCTTGTCAAGATAAAAAAATTACGGAAATTCCGTTGTTAATTCAGTGTACAAAAAATTGACTAACAATAAGAATGAAAAACGTCAGACAGCATTTGTCTCAATGATAAATTGTATTTGCTGACAAGGTCATTGTATCGACTATAAAACTTACGAAATGATGACTGTTGATATTTTTGTTTCATCAACTTGCTTGTCAATAATTTACCTCGTTTTAGAAATTGTTCATGAAGAGCATGCTCTTGCGTATGGAATCATTTGAGATATATACACTCCATATGCAGGTGATGAAGGTATATTGATGCATACGTAACGGAAATTGATAATAGAAAAATGATCGTTTTTATAAGTAATATTTTGATTATTTATTATAAATTGATTTTGTTAAGAGGATAAAATCGAGTTTATCAATATATTATTAATATTCAACGTGGAGTACGCTTATAACATTTTTCTATGGAAACCCCTTCGTGTCAAATCTTTATATTTTGGATTTAATAGTGACAAATTTTTCTATTTATCTTTTTAATATTTTTATTCACAACTTATAACACAGTTTATGTTACATTTATAGTTATATAGTTGCATCATGTATCATGTAACTGATGAGAAATTCCTTTGTTTTTACTTTGTTTCAGTTTTTTACCGTTAACATTGTGTCCTGTTTAACTATCTGCGATATACAGGCAGAAAATGCATACCTTGTGACCATAAACCTTTCAATGGCAAAAACAATAACTCCTTATTGTACAAACATTTCATTTCGTATCTTTCATATGCATGATATCCATCTTTGAACTTCTATTTGACTTTAAAGCAAAGTAATCAATTCCGCTTTTCCTCCGTGGAACATCAACAACATTAACTTGCACTATTAGAGATTGCTTTCATATAAATACCAAAAATAATGGATTTGTTTAAAGATCTTTTGTGTAATGCCATTGCAACGTTCCTGGTCTTTTTTCAATGTCAATATAAGGATTTTGGTAATAATCCGTACACCATAATCATACAAAAAATAAATGGGGAATCAGTGATGAAAAGCCGAGAGCCAAACTATAAAAGATTTATATATTGGAAAATAAAGATATAAAACAGTTTCCCGTAAAGGCCAATACTCATTGTCTATCTTCGATGGATAAATCACTTTCCTGTACATATACCTGTACATTAAAGTTCAAATTACTTAAATATTTTAGCAGTCGTTATATCTTAAAGCTCCATCATTTGATATCAAACTTTTACGTATGAACAATTTCTAAAAGAAGGTATGTTATTGACAAACAAGTTGATGACGTAAGACTATCAACAGTCTAGTTTAAAGTCATTATATCAGAAGAACTAAGGTATAATAATAATCTTGTCAGAAAAAATAATCAATTATTAAGACAATTGCTGACTGACTTTCACGTGATCCCACCTCTAATGTTTTTGAGGTCTGTATTTGATCTGCTCCTTTATTCTGGTTATGTTTAATGGACCTTTGAGCTCGAATACTGTTCGTAATCTCCATAGTTTACATACTTAAAATCACAAGTGACTGACACCTTTACAGCAATAAAAACAAAATTTAAACATTTGTTCAAATGGCTAAAATACATTATATTTTGATCAAAATTCAAGTCCTAATAATAAAGATACAATAAATATGCAGCATTAACTGCATGTTTTGTATATATAATCAATATTTTAACAGAAAAATGCTTTTGATATGCTCTTTAGAACTGCGCAACTACAGAAGTCCATAAAAATATACAAAGTGTGCATTAAAATTCACTCTACAACAATTTGTTGAGAAAATGTCTACATTTTGCACTTGTAAATTGTTATTTCAAGTTTAAAACATGGCACTGTTGTCTTTAAAAGGAGTGTAAAGAACCATGAAAGCAATTCATGGATAGCAGCACGTGGTGTATTTTTACCGCAGTTTTTTTTTCAGACCTCTTCTAAATATGAAGGTACATAATAATCTTAAAAAGAAGAAGAGAGTTACAGTTGGAAAATGTTTTAAAAATATAAAGTTAACACTTTTACAAAAGGGTATGTTATACTGTGACTAAAAGTAATTAGTATTATTATCGAACAGTTGTTAAATAGTTTATTAAAAAAAATATAAATGAACACCATCAAAGCTAAAAATTAAGAATCTGTTAAGTCTGACACGGATAACTTATCTTATCTATCAAAATTTAAATCATGAAACACAAAGATTATTAGACACATAAAATCGTTATGAATAATCTTGTTTTAGTACATACTAGTATACTGTATCAAATAAATTTTTACAATTTTTATAATGTTTGGGGGTGAGTGTTCTGCTCCTTTTTGTAATGTTTTATGGATCTTTTTGCTCGAATATCTCCATTAATTTTATATATAAAAATCACATTCCATTGTTTGATACTTTAAATTCAAGTCACCCAAGGTGGCTTTTATCTACACTATGAATAAACCATACAGCGAACTTCTATTGCATTCATCACTGCATACGGAGTCTATATATCTAGGTTGAGACGCTAGAGCAGGCTCTACTTGTGAACAAATTCTAAAACAGTGTAAGTTATCGACAGGAAAATTGATGAAGCAAGAATTTTAGCTCTCTTGTTTAAAGTCATCATTTCGTAATTTCTATTGTTAATATAATTCTTCCGTCAGCAAAAACAATTTATCAATGAGTCAAATGCTGACTAACATTTTCATACTTATTGTTAGTCCATTATTTATACACTGGATTGACGACGGGTTTTTCCGTTATTTCCTGATCATGACAAGGAGCTCACGGCGGCTGTTACAGATCGGCAGGGGATGCGTACTCCTCCATGGCTCCTGATCCTTCATTTGATGTTTTGGAGGTCCATGTTTGCTCTGCTCCAAATTTGCGTGAATCCAAATTTGTATCGTTTTATTGACTATGATATTAAATACTGTTTGTTATCTCCATATCCTTTATTGATACATAAACCTCTTTTTTCAATTTTAAGACGATTGTCATTCAAAAGTTTATGCCAAAATACACATTTAAGACAACCATTATTTTTTAAAAATTTGTTTTCTTGTACTTTCGTTGTAGGAGGGCGATTCCACGATGTTTCTGTAAATGTCAACGAACCACAAAGTGTGCAAAAATTTTCTTGTGGCTTCTTTCCTGGACCAGCTTCAAATGGAGATCGCATCCTGTTTCTTTGTGAGAATGGTGCCGTGGGTGAAAGTGTGACAATTATCATGAATGATAGAAATGGACAAAAGAGTATTCTCCATGTGTGTGAGGTAGAGGTTTTCGGGAAACATTAACACTGCATCAAATACGTGGTAACATATAAACACAAAAATCTGTAACATAATTCCCACCTTTGATATTCATAAATCTTTACACAAGACATTTCGAGAATAGAACGAGGATAATGAAAAACAATGAAAGGATATACAAATGAAGATAAACATACTATAGACCTCTTTGTGAAGAATATTTTCACGTGCATTAACGATGTTAAAAGCAAATTAAAAGCGAGCTGTATTTGTTAAAGACCTTCGTGTTATTGGAATCATAAGATGAATGAATTCATCCATTATATAATTGAATTATCATAGTTTATGTAGCTAAAAAAAATAAGATAATGTTCGTTTGAGAACTATTGTTAAATGCAGATTTTTAGAATAAATACATTGCCACCAATGACACATACTTAAAAGATGAATTGTACCGTTTTTAAATAAATTTTCCTTTTTGAGTATTTTCTTTTCTAAGTTTCTCCGGAACGAAGGGGTCTTTTAGACGAAATTTGGTCCTTTTAAACTACGTGGAATAAGGTCCTCATTTTTAACTATAATAAACTACGAGAACTGATATGTTCGCAGGACTATGGTTGTAGGGTAAAGAAGAACATGAACATTTTGGAGAATTATGTTTTAGATGTCCATTATATATATATACTAAAGAGGGTTTTTTTGTATTTAAAGATATAGAAAGCAAAATTCGATCCATATGTGTAAGAAATACAAGTTGTGAATGATCTTCAACTTGAAATATGGTGGCATAAAAATCTGGATCTGTTGTGGCAAAGAATACCATATTCACTTCGTCGATTCCTTTGTTAGCATATTAAAGTTTATTATAAAAAGTAACAAAAATACTGTATAATATCTTAACCTTGTAATATTTTCTTCTGAAAACAAATATGTGAGAAATGAGTCATTATGAGGCTTTTCTGCATGAATCTTAGAGATTTACTAAACTAATAACATGTTTCCAGAATGATCCTCCTTCATGTCATATTCTTTAATGATTAATCATATTCATCTACCCAACTAATATATAACAGCCACTTTCATAACTTTTTAAACATTACAATAATAGGCTTTTAATTAAAGACAAAACAGTATCTTCTTTAATCATATTTTTGAAAAAACTTAAATTCTTTAAATGTGATGTAGATATTCTATGAAGCGCTTGTGTGCTTCAAGAAATATACCTTCATGACAAGTCTGTGTGATTTACACACCAATAACTCACAAAAAACTTTAAAACATTCCATATATTATCAATGTGAATGTTTGGAAGCACCAATAATTTACTCAATATATGAATTTATTGCTGCCCTTTATCTTAGCATTCTTACTGGCGTCACTGTAGACTTATTGTTCTCCGTGTATATTTCTACGCGTGAGTATACATGAAAACGAAATTCAAATCAATTTTATAGTTGGCTCAGTAGAAAAACACAGCAAATGTAAATATATGGAGATAGCAAACAATATTCAACCTCATGTCTTAAAAAAATGATACAAGGGAAATTAAATAAAGTTTATCTTCCCATCTCGTATTGTATTTTTATAAGAAATGATTACATGATGTTTCTGTAAATGTCAACAAGCCAGAGAATGGTCAAAAGTATTCATGTGGCTTTTATCCTGGACCGGCAAATAATGGCGACAGCTTCCTGTTTTTTTGTGAAAATGGAACCATGGGTAAAAGTGTAACCGTAATGATTCATTCCAGGACATACTTCATGTGTGTGAAATAGAGGTATTCGGAAATATTTGACATTGATTAAAATACATGAAAAGAAAGAATAATGTTTAATTACATTTCAAAACTCCTTTAATTTCTATTACGAGTTATTAATTGGTTGTCAGCAGGCATTTACTGACACTACCTTAATAGTGCTCTAAGTACTCTTAAAAAATAAATTATTAATTGCAAATGAGAAAGAAAGTATTTCTAATTCTTCACTTGAACTGTTTTGTTCTTATTGCATTTTTGTCTCCCAAACTGGTTCGATGCATAAGTTTTTGCTTAATGTACTAATAATTATAAAATGTTATTCTTAAAGTCGACCGCTGATTAGAGTTTTTCAGTAACAAATTCTTCGGCAGCTATTTTAAATGGGTTGTCTACGGATTTTCCCGTTTTCTCGATATAGCAAGGAACACGTGGTGAATTTATCGACAGAGTATGCTTACTCCTCCCTCTAATCCCACCTCTGTTGTTGTTAGAAGTCCTAATTTGCTCTGCTCTAAATTTTTATTGCATTTCGGGTTTTTTTTTGTTCGCTTTCAAAAACATATTAGTAAATGAAACCTATTTGAGCTGACTTGTTTTATACCAATTGTTTGGCCTTTGCGTTTGTGTATTAAATTTTACTATGTATGCGCGTCTTCTTAGTAAATACAAATGACTCCTTGGCACCTGATCCAACCCCTGAATCTTGAATTTCCGGGATTCAGATATATGTAGTTTAAACACAGTTTACAGAAATCGTTTGTTTGTAAAATTATCAGAGATCCTTATTATTTTTAACCCTGGTGTTCTCATAGTTTATAGGGAAGATTATAGCATTAAAGTGATTGGAGTCTGTTACATAATAACTCTAATCACTTTAATGCTAGTAAATGAATATGTTATCATGATTTCTTCAATATGACTTTTTGAGTAGACGATTTGTTTTGAGAAAAAAAAATATATGTGACTATTAGAGAAAAAATAACCCATCAAATTGTTTTATTTCTCTTGTTTATTTTCATAGTAAAATAAATAGCAGAAAATTAATCGTAAATTTAACATAAATGGGAATTCCTTCATAATTAACGGGACATCATTTTATTCGATTTTTATTTAAATTTTAAATTTTAAGTACCAGTAAACTTTATGATAATTGTTTCAAGAATTCTTTTTTTCCGGAAAGTGTTGCACATTGATATGTCATTTATGTTACTGGTGATAATATCGTGAATGCTTCGTATACATTTTATAACAAATCAAAAAAAGTAAACGTTCCAAAGTAAAAGCTACGACATCAAAATGATCTCTTAAGTCCAGGACACAAACATCCACCAAATAAATAAACAAAAATGGACTCCGGGAATAACAGAGGTGGAATGAGGTCTCTAGGGGGAGTAGGCATCCCCATCCTTTTTTGACTGGTCGTCGTAATCCTTATTTTGTAAACATTTTAAAGTCAAAACTAGTGTAAAAAAAAACCTAACAACAAAATAGTTAGTCAGTAAAATTGGACCCAATTATAGAATATGATTTCAAAAAGTCATTATATCTTCATAAATTTGCAAAATGTTGACTTTATACGAAAATTTTGAAAGTCCTTCAACATCAAGTCATTTTTCCATTTTCTGTCTTGGTTTAAAAATTGATCGTTCTCGGAACTCAACATGCTCTCGTGTATATCATCAATTTGAAGGCACAGTAACCATCGTAGGAGATATTGGAATATTACTGCATCACTTTTATTACTACGTCCCACAACGCTCATAATTAAGTAACTTAAATGCTTTTTTAGTTTTTAGTATTCTCCGACAAACCTGTTTCATGGAGAAAAGTATCTGGGACATTCTCTGAATACTTGAGGTCATGCATAAGACAAAAAAAATTCAAAAACTACAAATACATGTATTATATTACCTATATGGTTTTAATAGACAAACATTTACAATCATTCCTTAAATCTTTGACTGTACACTAGATTCCTTTCTTTAAAAATTATTTTGTTATTGCAATAAGAGAAAAAAAAACTTTTAGTAGATACTTTCACATACAAATATTTCAATAAATGAATACAATCTGGCGCTATTCTAATGACTAATGATACAATATTCTAGAAGATAGAAAACTTTGATCAAATAAATAATAATTTCCAAAATCTAGCTTCATCGTTGACATAACATATATAGTTAACAGAGTAATAGGTATTACATACAGACTAAAGAAATCAATGGAAGACAGAAAACTCTTTAAATAATCTTTATAAAATTTTATTATGTATCCTTTATTTATTGATGTATGATAATTGCCTCTGAAACAAAATAACAAAACCGATGATGTAGCAAAAACATAGACACTCATTTAGGCCCCATTTATCACTGTTTAAGGTGTTCCTTGTTAGGCTATTAATATTTAATCAATGTTCATGGGATTTCAGAAAGGGTTTTATTAATTATATATGTTTAGAGATAATTAAAGATTGCAACTTTGATCATTAAGAAATCAATTGGCATTTGAGGGCTGCATTCGTCTTAAAAATATGTCATGCATGAAAACGTAAAAGTCTTCTAGGACCTAAAACAGATAATGAATTAAAAAAAATATTAGAGAAAATTGTCAAAACTGTAGAAGACTACACATGCAAAAATAAGGCAATTGCTAGCGATTTAAAAAATCCTTGAAAGTTCTTTGATGATTATAAATTTCTTAAGAATCAAAAAATGAAAATAAATTCAAGATATCATTTTTATTTCTCAATTAACAAAAAATCCCTTTAGAATTTATGCAAAATCTTATGCGTGAAAAGAAGAGAACACTTGCTGTGGCCTTCAACTCGACATTAAGATATATCGACGATGTATTATCAATTAATAATGATAATTTCCATTCCTACGTCGAAACGATATATCCTTGTGAGCTTGAGATAAAAGATACCATAGAGTCTGACACTTCTGCTTCATACTTGGATATTTTACTTGAAAGAGACACTAATGGTAATCTTACAACCAAGCTATATGATAAACGTGATGACTTTAACTTTTCTATCGTCAACTTCCCTTACTTATGCAGCAATATACCTTAATCACCTGCATACGGAGTGTATATATCTCAGTTGATTCGATACGCAAGAGCATGCTCTACGTATGAATAATTTCTTAAACGAGGTAAATTATTGACAAGCAAGTTCACGAAACAAGAATATCAACAGTCTCGTTTAAAGTCATCATTTCGTAAGTTCTACGGTAGATACAAGGATTGATCCAAAAGTTATGTCACAGTTTCCATATCTTTTATATTTGGCGTCATATTATCAAATATTATATACCAAAAGATGCACAAATATAAATTTAATTAAACTTTAATTTTTCATTCAATAATGTTTAACTGAATTTATTTTATAGATGTTTAAAACATATAAGATAGGGGGTGTCGCCGCGTCAAAACCGAACGTCACAAATCAAAGTGTACTTTTCTTAGTATAAAAAAGACAAACACTTAAAAAGCATCTTTTAAAAGCACCTAACCGCAAAATACTTTAAAAGCCAAAAATTTACATCTTAATTTGAAAATTATATGACATCACTGCTATTTTTTATGAAAAAACATCGTTGATTTATTCCGGTGCATTGAAAACAGGAAATGTCAAAATAGACAAAAAAAGCCAAAACAAACTGTAAAGCATTTGTGCTTCAAAATGGAGAACTCGCCAGTATAGACAGTTACATTGATTCACTAGACCCACAGATGAAAGAATGTAGATAAGAGACTTGTTTAGATGGTTTCAGCGATTTTCGGTAGGTGATGGGTCATTAAATGCTCAACAGATGACAAGAAAACCAAAACAGGGGAGAGCGGACGGAAATGTTCAATGGTGCGTGACGTTGTCAAAAAGACAGACGGATAGAGCGATGTGTGAAATTTTAAGTTGGTCTTTTACTACTGTTCAATGAATTTTGACAGAATTAATTATAAAAAGAGTGCCGTGTACGATGGGTACTAAGGGTAAGAAAGTGAAATTTGTGAGCGTGTTCGTGGATATCAAATTTCAAATATTTTTTATGAAACGAAGGGAAGCGTTTAAATGTATGACGGCGCGTATCCGTCATATGACGTTATTTAGCTGCGGCGACTACCATAATCGCACGTTGTATATAATCCGATATTTTGAAAAGTATAAATCATGTTGAATTGAAATTTTCAGGTCTGATTTGAAATAAATGTAGCTTTAATCATTTATAATTTTATTGTTTTACGTCGACGAATAGTGATTTTATCGAAGTTGTGACATTACTTTTGGATCAACCCTCGTACAATGACCTTGTCAGCAAATACAATTTATCATTGAATCAAATGCTGACTGACGTTTTTCATTCCAATTGTTAGTCCATTATTTATACACTGAATTGACGACGGATTCTTTCCGTTATTTCCTGATCATCACAACGAGCACACGGCGGGTGTGACCGGTCGGCAGGGGATGCTCACTCCTCCATGGCACCTGATCCCACCTCTGATGTTTCGGAGGTCCGTGTTTGCTCTGCTCTTATTTTGTATATTGTTTAATGGACTTTGAGATTGAATACTTTTCGTTATCTCCATATCATTCTTTAGCACAATAAAACTTTTTAAATACGAGTAAAAAAGTAAATTCTCTAATTTGTTTCTGAATCTCCAATTAATTGATTAACGGATAATAAAATATTTTTATCACTGTTATGATTTAAATTAACACGTTATTTTTTCAAAGAGACCCTTATTATTGATAAACCCCTTTTGTAATGAGGATGAAGAAGCACATGTTCTGGGCCAATTCCCCTGCTCATGTTGTATTCACTGATGATGATGATCTCTGATTCGTAAACAATGTATATAAAATTCCAACTTTCGAATAAAGTACCGTAATAGTACTAAAGGGTTATATCTGACTGTGAAAATTCTTCAACCTAGTCAACAATCATACCAAAAAAACTTATACAAGTTAAAATTAGAGATAATTCTGTGATGTATGTTGAATTTTTGCAAATGGTCTCGTATATTAGCGGCATATCTTAAAGTCGTTACTAGGGTTGTAGCTTGACTTAAAAGACTGGTCTAGTGAGACAAAACTCTTGGGGCGACTTCGATTCGTATCCGAGTACGTACTCGAGTTACTTGAATTTCATAGTTACTACTCAAAATACGTCATATGACCTTATGAACTCTACCCAAGCTAACCCAGCCATACAGTAGGATAACTAGAGTTTCGATATGGCGGCGTCGAAAGAAAAACCCGAACGTAGGAATTATTTTTTTTTTTACTAAATATTATGTTTAGCATCGTTTATCCTTAAAAGCAAACTTCGAAACGCACATTCTACATGAACGCTTTATAATTTATATGAATAAAATATAAATAAACAAGAACAACTTTTGCTCTGCTGTCTTTGACTATATACATCTCTGAAAAACTTCCTCACAATGCTGATCATTAAGAACTTTCTTGCAATTCTGTGCGTCATCATGGGCTTTGTATACATCATATTTTGAACTTTGAAGAGCCAAAGTTAAAGGCCTCACATAACTCTGTTTTAAGTTTGAACTCCTATCCATCATATTTTGATAAATACAGTGACTGATGTACAAGAAACAGTACTAGTGCTTTAATTTCTTGCATCTTCAAGCAGGGCTCCCACTGGACCAAAAATGTTTTTCGCCACTTTTCGCGACAAAAGGAAAGGCATACTTACATCTGATTTCTCGACAATGCAATGCACTTTATGTTATTCAATTTTTTTTATTAAATATATCACAGACATTGTTTTAAAATTGTGATGTTCAAATCTTATGATAGTATCCATTTAAAAAAAAAAACTACTGTTGGAATTATACAATTAATTTGATATTGAATTGATATCAGCCAACTCTTGACAGAAAATCTCCTCATGATTTATATTTTTTGTTTTGCCTGAGAAAGGGGGTATGACATATTTTTAGAAATGGAAATCTTCATCATTTCATTAATTAATTGTGAAAAGAAGTTATCAAAAAGTAATAAAAATTAGGTTTAAAACTTGACTTTATTTTAACAACTTGGAGACTCCAGGGTTTAATATGCAAGCTCATGTAAATAAATCAGTGTAATCTTCTTAGATAATTCTGTTTTCAAACCAATTTCTTTTTCACTCTATGTCAGTTTATGGTATAATGTGCACATTTTTCAATTTTCATTAGGTAAAATTTGAAGCCATTCTTTACAATATTCGTCATGTTTCCCTACTTTCGATTTTAAAAATACGATCTAAATAGATCCATATTTTGTTGATAAAAATCTTTTATTTACAAACTTCATCTCCTTATAACACTTTATCCCCGTTGTTTAATCCAAATTATATTATTTCAAGCAATTTTGTAACCCTTAATTGCACCAGGCTAATTACCTAGTCAGCTGTGTTCGTTCAAGCGAGACGTGATTTCCTACATGTAGGTTTCAGTTTTCACACCTCTGCTGCATTAAATAAACAGAGGGACTTATCTGTATACATTGAATAAACAAAGGAGCTAATCAGGTCTACACAAATTTTGTACATGGTACATCTAAAAAATTCATTTTCGCCACTTATGATTTTCTTTTCGCCACTTTTGAAAAAAATTCGCAATTGGCGACAATGGCGAATCACAGCTCGAGCCCTGCGCTTCAAGCGTCGATAATATGGTGCATACTTTTCAATGACAATTGAAAAAGTATCAAATCAAGCAGACCATCTTGATTCACAAAGTGTTGGTAAGATGTTCACAGAAAACTAGTTTTCTATGTTTTTCTGTTTTAATTGCTTCCTTTTCCTTATTTTCAATATTTCCATTTTAAATAATCAATTGGTTTTACAGTAGGCAAATGTCGTTTTATAATCGAAACCCACTTTAGACTGGCCCAAAGAAACCATGTCAGCTGATTAACTACATCAAAGAGGTATGTTCGTGCATAAAGGAGATATAACTAAATTTAATACATGTGCTCAACATTGGTGGTATTCAGCAATGGTTGGGCTTCCCGTTAACTAGAACAGACACCCGAATTTAAGCCAGACATAACGCTTGTCCCATCATACCCTGTCCTCTGAGGTATTGTGTATCTATATAACAGTTTCAAGCGTTTGCAAAATTGCATTACTAAATACTTGTGGATGCTGCATCAAGCATATCAAATGAACTCTTCGTATACTTCAGGGAAAGAAGTTAGATATACTAGTATCAATTAGTCAAATGCAGATCAATTAACAAATGAAATACCAAGTGCTGCATTAATATATTTCTAGTTTATATAACATCAATGAAATCGTTGAAAAGATTAAACGATTTGAAATATGCAGTCATTAAAATTTCAAAATTTAAAAGTGCACAAAATTAACATAGGCTTGTAATTTTCAAAGCTTTTCTCATAAAAGGTTTTAAAATATGCATATTGAGAGTTTGGCATTGTTAATCGCATACAGGACAATAAGTTAATTAACCCTGACGTCTAAATAATTTATCATTTAGGTTTCAAGAATGCTCAAATCTAATTTGAAAATATTGATTATCTTATTAACAGCTTAAATTTTTATTCATAATTTGACGTTAACTTTAAAAAATATTCATTATAAATATTTCTTGGTTTAATTTTGTATTTAGTTCACACCGTGTCATAGAAAACATTCATAGCAAACACAAAAAAGGGGAACAGCGGTTCCACAAAATATTTCTTTTCGTGATTTGAAGTGAATTATAATGCTGATAACAAATGGAAAAATGTACCTACAAATCATCTTCCTTCTGTTTCCAGTGGTGTGTGAGAGTGCCTACAAGGCGCCTCAATATCATGGAGAATTTTCTTTAAAATTCTTTGGCAAGCTGACTGACAATTACGCTCAAACCATCTTTTCATCAGAAGGAAAATCACAGATGGGAACTTTAACAAAATGTTCCCAGTTTTGTGTCAGAGATCAACGGTGTATAGGAATAGAACTATGTCAGATCAGAAACGATTTGTTTCAATGTCGAATTTGCTGCGAATGGAAGAAGATAGGTTCCAATTACTACAATGATCAACTGGGATGTAAATACTTAGAAATGGTAAATATGCATTTCAATCACACTAAAGACTAAGTGTCATGTATCAGGGGTAAGAACTGACATAGTATTAAAGACCAAGTGTAATGTATCGGATGTAAATACTGATATAGTATCAAAGAAATGTTTTGTATAAAAAGTTAAAATTAAAAAAAAAACCTTTCGCCTTTAAAAATCATAGCACTTGCTTCTATGTGCCGAACCATTTTTTGAAAGATAAATAATAAATTATGAACAAATCTCCTTATTTTGTTGGTCTTTTTACAGTACGATTTATGATGCATTTTTTCCAACAGGAAGATAAAGCCGAAGAAAACAGTAAGTCGTCCTTTATTACGAAAGTTACGGTAAAAGTAAAGGTTTATTAAATATTATGCTGTGTTAGATGTATACTGACATGTTGTCCTCTGTATGTCATTCTCGGTTTGCTAGATGTGCAGGAGCCACTATTTACACAGTTTTAAATGAGATCATATATATTTTGGTTTAGATACACACAATAAAATGTGCAGCCAAGTATTTTTGTATGCAAAAATTCTGTTGGTAGGCAAAGAATAGTACATTTGCAGCTAAAGAATTTAGCCTGTTAATGATATTTCAATGGTATGTTCTAAACTTTTATTTTCGTGCTTTGTTATGAATTCTATAATCTTTATAATACTGATTTTATACATACATATTGAATTCTTTGGTTGTGGCCAAATATTTATCAACTCATTATCAAATAATTTCTTTTAATGTTTAGCAGAACTTTTCGTAATTTTACATAAATTTGGTTAAAGTGACATAATGGCAGCAACGTCAAGGGAATCTTTTAATCTTTTGACTCTATTTTCTTGGACTGTAATGCCTCATCAAATTTGATAGCAGACTATTTACGTCGGACAAAAGCTTAACAGAGCTTATGTTACTTGTGTTAAAAATCTGCTGCTTCAAAAAACAAAATGCGTTGTGTAATTTTTTCATCATTCATAAGATAATCAGAAACACTACTACCATGATAAGTTATGTGAAATTTCCAAACATTTCACTCATAAAACGAAATTGTTTATTTTACAATAAAAGAAAGTCTACTAGTTCTTATCCTCTATTATCCATGCAAGTTTCGCTATTGACTCTGTTGAAAATATCATTACTCATTATGATAATGAGTAATATATAAATATTATAAGTTTTAAATAAAGGTATATGAAGGATACGAACAGTATTCAATATCAAAGTCCACAAAACAATACAAAATAGGAGCAGAGCATATTAGTATGAAAAACGTCAGGCATTTGACTCAATGATAAATTGTTAATTGTCAATACGTCGTCGATATATCCAAACGTTGAGTTGAAGGCAACAGCAAGTGTTTTCTTTTCACGCATAAGATTTTGCAAAAAATTCCGCTTCATATGAATACAAAAATAGGTCTGCTAATAACGGAGCACAATTGGTACCCATGGGAATTCCAATAAATTGTTTGAAGACCTGGTCTCCCAAAAACATAGATATTGTCAATCAGAAACTCAAGAATCTTTTTGATGTCAACTTCACGTTGATTGCTATCATTGAACATAAAAGCAGCTGCACTTCCTGTTCTAGCATTAAAATATTCACTAAGCATTGTTTCCTAAATCTTTAAAATGGATCTTCCAGTACAATTTTTAGAATATTAATATCATTTCTTGCTATTGCATCAATTACTTATTCTAATATAACAATGTCCATGAAAAAGGGCTTTTTATTCTATAATAATTGTAATAATTGGATCTTTCTCGGGCATATGTATTTAAAAGAAACCTAATATAAAAATTTTAGAGAATTATGAGAATCCGTATTGTAAAATACGTAAATATTAAAGATTTGCTAAAGCTTCTATAATAAATAGTAGAAAACCTCCTTGATATCACAAGCATGATTCAATTACTCGTTTGTTTTTCTCTTTGACTTACGTCTTCACTCATAGAGAGACGCCACCACTTGCTAGAGGAGGGCTGAATATTTTAAGCCAATACTTAAGGCCATAGAGCAGCGAGAGATTTTCCCAGTCAGCACCTACCTCGCTTAATCCGGTCTCACCCAAACGATCTCCATGTCCCGCAGTGAACGCAGTGAATTCGAACATGCGATGCAATGATCACCTCCTCTATACCGCTCTTACCACTGCGCCACGCCAGTGACACATAAGTCAATGTAAATAGCTTTTTTACAAACCTAGGATTTTTAGAATTACCCATGTATTACAGCTCATTCAAATTTGAAATGTTTTTCAAACGCTCATAAATCCATCCTGGCCCCCCTTTAAAGGTAAATCGTTGAATGTTTTCTTAATTTTAAAATAAAAAGTATTTCAGTAATGTTGCAATAATTTTTTTAGGTTTCATGAGTTGCTTGTACCATAATAAGCAATTCCCATAATAAGTGCTCTATAAAAATGATTTCAGCCTTCTGTATCCACAACCATGATAGTTGTCACATGATATACATGTTAATAAGAGGGAACCTTTTTAGCAGACTACGCAGATTACTTGGCCGTACTATCACATCTGGAAAAAAACATATGCAAAGTAAAACATCAAAATTACAGAGTAATGTAGACAAAATGGACTAAAAATCAAAATCAAGAAAACTGAAGTTATTTGATAAAACACCAAACAACCAGCAAGAATACGGGTTGATCAAAATGACCCGAGAAACACAACAACATTTACCTATCTTGGCAGCATAGTAACATCATATGAGGGTGCAGACAAAGATATAAAGGCCAGACTAATTAAAGCTAGAAGTGCCTTCATCAACCTCAAGAAATCTGGAAAACAAATGACATAAGTAGAAGGACAAAAATAAAAATCTATAATAGCTGCGTCCTGTATGTCCTACTATATGGATGCCTCAGAAAGATCGTGAGTATTTTCCTGGCCAAATAAAATTACCAATGTGGAACTCCATGAGAGGGCCAACACAACATGCGAACATAATTGTTGACTAAACGGTGATGGCGACGGATAGGGCGCATGTTGAGGAACCAGCCAACAACATCACTAAAGTGCCCCTTAGATAGACACCGGAAGGGAAGAGGAAACCTGGTCGGCCAAAGAACACCTGGCGAAGGACTGTTGAAAAAGAAATGAGGGACCAGAAACTAACTTGGAGAGAACTGGAGAGAAATGCTCAAGATAGAGAGAGGTGGAGAAATCTAGTCCTTGTCCTATGTGCGCGTGTGTATAACAAGGACTAGGTAGGTATACATGTTCATAAAATGGGAGACTAAGAACTTTGATAATTGCGCACTAGCAAAAAAATAAATTAATACATTTTTAAATTAAGTGATTGCAAATCACCAAATATATCCTCCTTCACCTGTGTTGATGCAGGTTTAGAAATGAGATTGGAGTTATCTATATTTCCTTTCTACTTTGATGATCGTTCACGGTTTGTCAGTCAGTAGAGCACTCGCTCCGTGATTGTTAGGTGTCGACTGACCAAAGTCGGTAAAAATGGGTAGCATTTAAGGTAATTAAACCCTGATATGATGTCATAGATTGTTGCAAAAACTGTTATTAGTTTAAATTCATACCTAAAAGAACAGTATCTTTTGGAAGAATGCTTTACAATAGGTGTAATAATAAATATTGTTAAGTTAAAGAATTTGAAAAATGCATATTTTCTTTATTTGATCAATTATTCAATCTTTGAGAAATGTTGACGAGGGCAGTAACTCCTACTAGTGTCTCTTCATTAGAGTCATTTGTTTTATTGTACTTCTAATGTAAAATAGTTTCCCTAATATTCACAATTCAAAAGTATCTTAAAAGAAGGAAGGATTAAGAAATATTCAGCGTATAGTTCATGATACTGTTAACAAAAAATGTGCGATGTTTTTATGTTGACATACACTTCTGTTTATTTATGTTTTGCATCTTTAATAATGATGACCTTTGTATTTTCTGCAATAATTGGAAAGTTTAAAGTATACTAAACTTGATAAATGAAAATAAATGCAGTTTTTTGTACTTTGAACCATTAAAATTGTGAGGGTGGAAAAACTATAAAGGTTACTTCGCCATGCTCTAGGCACTTTAAAGTACAAAATTCGGACCCTTTGGATGAGACCTGAAAAACCGAGGCCCGGTGTCACGATAGGTGTTGGCGCGAAGAGAATCCCTCACTGCTCAATGACCCTGAGAGCCGAGTTAAAGTCGAAATTAAAATCCTTTCACTACTATATTTATGACGTCTCGACATTAGTGAAAAATTACCGAATAGGACGTAAAACTATATACAATCAATCAATCAATCTACCTTGATGTATTAATGTCTGAAATAACATACACCGTAGGACTGCCATTTATCTTACTAATTGTTAGTCCAGTATGCATAGATTGAATGGAAGAATTTGTCCTTTACTTCTTGATCATGACAAGAAGCACACGATGGGTGCGACCTGTCGAGATGGGATGCTCACTATTCCATGGCACCTGATCCCACCTTTGATATTTTGGAGGTCCCTGTTTGCTCTGCTTCTATTTTGTATTGCTCTCATTTCAAAATTTTCTCATTGTGTATGCTGTATTTCAATTCAGTGGCAGTGGCGGCCGTTTTAAGTAGTCTTTACGGTTCCCAATATAAATCAGCATTTGCAGTGGATGGTGTGACAGAATGCGGAAAACATTCATTGCCTCACAGTAAGGCTGAAACCAGTCCATGGTTGAGAATTGATCTGACAAATACTACCAGTGTATCACAAGTACTTGTATACAACAGACGTGATTGTTGCGGTGAGTTTTTTCTCTTTAATACGTAGTTCTTTCAGTATAGCAACATGAGGAAATCACAAACAGAAATGAAAAACATCTGTTCGCATACACAGGTATATTCTCTCTCAATTTCGTTCTCTTTTTCTATATCTCCCTCATGTTTTATAAATAATTCTCTAAAAATGACAATTTACAAACTCTAGCGGCTTTAATTTTTAAATATTACACACTGTTCTTTAGGAGGTGCGATACTGAGCATTTGAGCAAATTTTGCTCTGGATATTTATAATTAAAATTGACTGTATCATTTTTAATTTCTAACATTAAATCTGGATACAGTACTTCAATGCAAATTAAACTATATTCAATGAAACAAAAATTGCTATTAAATTCTGTTCATGTAAGATTCAGCCAGGAACTATATTTTGTGGCAGAAGTTATTCTTTTTTTAGAATAAAATGATAATTCTTCTCCCTTTTGAACTTTATACTGTACTGTAAATTTCATTTTTCTTTTCTTCCATGCTGGTTAGTGGTTACACAAAAAAACTGTAATGAAATGTGTTATGTTGGTTCTGAAACATTGTTTAAATTATTTCATATGAATTCTTTCAACGAATTTTGACAAAAATATTCAATGCGTATATTCTGAAAATCCAGGTAAAAATTGACCCAATTTTAACAAACAATTTTAGAAATATCTAAACATTAATATAATATACTATAGTATATAGATGATATTTTCTAAATATGTAAAATATCTTTGACCTATCTGCATAAATGCAGCAAAAGTTTAAGACTTCAAAATAATTTTCTGTCTTATTAATTTTTTAATGCCAGAAAAATCAGACTTTGTGAATGCAGAAAGAAAAAAAATCGATTAAACAAAACGATTTGAATTTTTTTTCTTAATCACAATTTTTTAGTGTATTTTTAAATTGACTTAAAGTTTATTTTGTTCAATGCTATATTTGGATATAAAAATTGGAGGGAAAACGTCAAAGATGTAATGTTTTATTAAGACTTCAGTGCACAAAGGTCATACATGTATCTAAATGTACTCTAGTACCAAAAGAGGCATATTGCCCCCCCCCCCCATTTTCTGATTTGATTAAAATCAATTTTAGATTAGATTTTTAATTAAACACGCTTTCTTTGAGTTAACCAAAGACATGTACTGAGTATGTATTTTTTTCTCTGCATAAAAAATTCCTTTAACTTTTTTTAATCAAAATGTAAAATCGGGCTTTGGTTGGCCAAAGAACATAGACTTCATTGTTATGTTTATGAACATTTACATTATACGTTTATATATCTTACTAAATTACTGTATCTATTTCAGAGCTAGAGTAATCTTACGTAATCAAGTATTACTCTCTATTATGATATCAAGAGCTAACTTTTATATTGTATATCCGCAGTTACTTTTCCTAAATTCTTCACTCCCTGTGTTAATTTCCTTTGTGTGACCCACACAAGGAGACCCTATCCGTTTATATTGTTTTTTTACTTAAGCTGCCGTAAGTAAATATGTGCTATTTATGTTTATTACACGTATATTTATTATATAAAGTATTCATAATGTTTTGTATGAAATGTTTGTAATTTGTTTTTTAGGATAAGATATGGAGATAAATAACAGTATTCAATATCAAAGTCAATAACACAATACAAAATAGGAACAGAGCAAAGACGGACCTCCAAAACATGAGAGAAGGGATCCGGTGCCATGGAGGCGCAAGCATCCCCTGTTGACCGGTAACACCCGCCGTGTGCTCTTTGTCATGATTGGAAAATTACGGAAATTCCATTGTAAATTCAGTGTTTAAAAACGGACTAACAATAAGAATGAAAAACGTCAGTCAGTATTTGTCTCAATGATAAATGGTATTTGCTGACAAGGTCATTGTATCGACCATAGAACTTACGAAATGATGACTTCAAAAGAGATTGCTGATATTCTTGTTGCTGCATCAACTTGTTTGTCAATAATTTACCTCGTTTTAGAAATTGTTCATAAATAGAGCATACTCTTGTGTATCGAATCAACTGAAGTATATCTTCTCCGTATGCAGGTCATGAAGGTATATTGCTGCGTATAAGGGAAATTGACGATAGAAAAGTTAAAGTCATCACGTTAATCGTATAGCTTGGTTATTAGATTACCAATACCGTCTTTTTCAAGTATAATATACACGTATGAATCTAATGTGTTCAGACTCTGTGGTATCTTTTATCTCAAGCTCACCAGGTATATCGTATCGACGTAAGATTGGAAATGACCATTGTTATAATTGACAACACGTCGTCGAGATATCTAAATGTCGAGTTGAAGGAATATATGTTGGTATCTCTTGAAAGTTCTGTTGTTGTCATAATCTTTCAACGTGGAGTACGCTCATAACATTTTTCTATGAAAACCTATTTGTGTCAAAGCTTGATATTTTGGATTCAATAGTGAATCATTTTTATTCTTTTTATCTTTTGAATATTTTTATTTACAACTTATTACACAGCTTATGCTACATTTATAGTTATAAAGTGACATCATGTATCATGTAACTGATGAGTACAGTGAAACCTGTGTAATCCTACATGCACTGAGAGACAAATTTTGTGTCGGAATAGACAGGGTGACGGATTGCATAGTGCTAAAAACAAGGAAAATACTAAAATGGGAACGAAATTCAATGTCGTAATTCATAGTGTGTTTGATTATTCAGGTGTCAAATTAGACAGTTTTCACTGTAATTCCTTTTTTTGTTTCAGTTCTTTACCGTTAACATTGTGTCTTGGTTAACTATCTGCAATATACAAGCAGAATATGCATACCTTGTGACCATTAACCTTTCAATTGCTAAAACAATAATTCCTTAATTGTACAAATTTTTCATTTCGTATCTTTTATTTGTATGTTTCATTTGTCTAATATCCAATTTGAAATTTGGTAATATCATCTAATCTCGTAAATCCAGTAACATCTTTGAAATTCTATTTGACTTCAAAGCACAGTAATCAATTCTGTTATCCGCTCTTTTTTTCGTGGAACACAAACAACATAAAGTAACACTATCAGATATTGCTTGCATATCAATACCCATAATAATGGATCTGTTTAAAGATACATAATTTAAGTTTACATCTTTTGTAATGAAACACAAAGAAAATTAGACACATAGAATCCTTATGAATTATGTTGTTTTAGTACATACTGGTATACTGTATCAAATAAACATTGACAATTTTCATCACACTGGAGCACCCTTTCAAAAGGAATGAAATCATTCAGAGTGGGTATGGAGATTTACTGAAAAAAAAAACAAACATTTTTTTTTCAATTTGCCTCTGTTATCAAAATTACAATTCTACATCGTAAAGAAAGAAAACAACATGATGAAATATTATGACCATCTTTAAAATGTTATTTGGTGGATCTTCTGACTCAGGAAAAATTACTGGGTCCGTATTTTTATGATTGAGATTGTTTTTCCTTAAAATTTAAACATATTTGTTGACAGAATAAAAAGAAAAAAACATATCGTGTAATGGTATGTAAAAAAAATCGAGTCGGGTCATTTCTAGTCAATTTGTCGGGAGAAATGGCAACCAATTAAAAAAAAGTTTTTTAAAGGTGGTCTTAACAATATAAGGCTAGTACGTGTTTTATCACATACTACGTAATGACAAATTTCTGAAGCTTTGGCACTATTGTGAAAAAAAAAACAAAACAAAACAAAAAAACAGGACTTCGGGGGGATTGGAGGTTAGCCTCATACTTTTTTGTGAAGATAGACATAGCATAGGCAATGGACCTTTTTTTGCAAACATTGTGCTGTCTTCTGAATATCGAAGAAATTAACTCAATATATTTTATCAAACTTCGTATATTGGCGAGAGCTAAGAAAGAACTTTATTTGGTAATAACCAATATTTGCCCCCAGATCAAACTTAAACGGAGAAATATTTAATTATGTTCTGAAACAGGGGGATTCATGCTGACTTAAAAGCACTAAATATTTTTATGAGCAATGGTGACATTTGTTTGAAATTACGTCACAAAAATGACTTCTACAGAACAATGTATACTGGTGTCTCATTATATCGCGGTACTTAATTCTTTTGCATAAAACATGTAATTTCTAATTTTTATTTTAACTTACATGAATTGATAATTATAATTCTAGCTTTGGCCTAACTTTTTAGTGTCCAATTATTTTCCAAGCTTGCATCGTTTTATTTGTGGTCTATTTTTAAAACAGGAAGTCTTATTTACCTCCTAAACTGGAGAGTCTCCTTGTATCGCGGTATGGGAATACATGGAAACTTGTAAATGACACAGACCTCAAATTCTATTTTTTGATTTACGATGTAATTCTACATGAAAAATTGAACAATTGTATAAACTAAAAACTTTGAAAAGTTGAACTTTAGTATAATTTTTACGAGTTTATAATTCTAATGGTCTAAATATGATTAAAAAGGGACTGGAAATCTGAAAATTTCCTTTTATTTTTTATCAAACGGATGTTCCGTACTTCTTAATCATCAAAAACTTAAACATTCAGGTAACATTCATATTGTCTACCAACAAAAGGAATATATGCTATGTATCCACATTTTTGTGATATACCGCGATACAATGAAACCCGCGATATAATGGGAATCTAGTATATATAACGTCGATATTTTTAGTAAAAGTCACCGAGCGCAGGTCTGATCTGGCTCAATATTTTGATATAATGCGTAGAATGATAATGTCAATGAAATATGTAAATATTGTTCCTGGGCAAACTTGCCCTCTATGAATTTTAAAGCTAAAATTGTTGATTTCTTTTTCCAATTTGTCCTATTTCTAAAAATGATATGAAATTGGACTAAACAAAAATTGTCAATTAACTACTTTGAAACTATATTATGTTCTGTAAATTTATATTTCTCATACAATTTATAGAATTTAGCACATTTCAAGAATTTTTCAAAATTTGGATTTTTGGGGGCAAAGATATACAATCTACCGCAGATAGTTTGACATAATACGACATGATGTGTTTTTATGTCACAAACATTACTCCCATTAGTCCATCAAATGCGTGGACCATCGCAAACAATCTCTATTTTATGTGAGGTGCCTGAAGAAAATCCTATAACTAACTAATTTTTCTATCTAACTGCTGAACAAAATTGACACATGTACCAATTTTTACAAATGTAATACACTTAATTAAAATTTGTTTTCGTGCACTGCATATGTTTAAACTTTTCAAATTAAAAAAAATAACTAAGCATCCTCATTGCAGAGTACCATTTGAAAATAACTTCTATCCCCACAGAAAAGAGATCCGTTGTAAACATATATGTTTAGAAGAAGGATATGGAGAAAACGAACATTAAATGCATCTATCTACAAGGGCTGATCAAAAAGTTCGCGAACTAATTGAATAACTTCCACAAAAAACAATATTTGGTTTCAGCGTTGATTATATTTTAAATTAAATTAAATTAAATGATTTTAATGCACATCTTCCAATGTTCTTCTCATGCGTAAATCACGTGATATAGGCGGTCATGTGACCTCCCCCATAGCGTTCTGTCACAAAAGCTGAAAGATTTTTCTGAGTTTTATATTTTTTTCCATGTAAGTTATTTTGAAAATTTAAAACAGTTAATTTGTCAGAAATGGTCAATTCCCGGCAACAGAATAGGTGGATAAGAATATCCTTTACAAAAATAAGCATGGCGATCATTAAACTCAAGTCCTCTGTCTCGGGATAGATGATTACTCAAGATGGATAGAGAATGGGTGCCTATTTTTAATCATATCTAATATGTTAAAAATCACAAGTAAACGATATCATATGAAATTGATAATTATATTTTTGTTGAAATATTTAACTATTTTTCAAAGTGTAAATTGGAGGTCTTGGATAGCAAATTGCTTAATTAAAAACACATCACTTTTAAAACTTCCTTTCACTGGGAAAATTAACAAGTGTCATTTTTAACTATCTGCCTTCCTTCACTAAAACGATCAATCAAAACATTAATTGAATTTAAAGGAATCATTATCTTAATAAACTATGCGCAAATTATTATACGCTATTTCAATAGGATTTCTACGTTATGCCATAAACTATACAGAGAAAATCATTTTTCGTCACAAGTGACCTACATAGTGACGTCAATTTCACATTGTGACGTCACAAACAAGGAGCAAAACTTTATTCAGCATATGCTATTTATAGAACTTGTGTATTGCTATGTGTGCACCAATTTCGAATCTAATCTGAATTGTGGTTTTGTAGATATAGAGGTAGTTCGCGAACTTTTTGATCACCCCTCATACAAAAAATCTATGCACATGCCAACCGTGTGCTCGGTGGAATTACTCGAGCGATAAACAGAACAGTTTTCCCGATTTGCTGGAGTGGGGTAAAAATCGCGATTTTTATTAATCAGACGATGCGACACAACAAAAAATAAAAAGTTAAAATGTATATTACAGAGTTTGACACATCGATCTGTTTCATACTTTTAATATTTTACTTGAAAAAGACGTTAATGGTAATCTAACAACCAAGTTTTATGATAAACGTTACGACTTTAACTTTTCTTTCGTCAATTTCCCTTACTTATGCAGCAATATACCTTCATCACCTGCTTACGGAGTGTATATTCCTCAATTGATTCGATACGCAAGAGCATGCTATACGAATGAGCAATTTCTAAAACGAGGTAGATTATTGACAACCAAGTTGGTGAAACAAGAATATCAGCAGTTTCGTTTAAAGTCATCATTTCGTAAGTTCTATGGCCGATACAATGACCTTGTCAGCAAATACCATTTATCATTGAGTCAAATGCTGACTGACGTTTTTCATACCAATTGTTAGTCCATTATTAAACACTGAATTGACGACGGATTTTTCCGGTATTTCCTGATCATGACAAAGAGCACACGGCGGGTGTGACCGGTCAGCAGGAGATTCTCACTTCTCCATGGCATCTTATCCCACCTTTGATGAATCGGAGGTCTGTGTTTGCTCTGCTCCTATTTGAATTGTTTTGTGGTCTTTTATATTGTATACTCTCCGTTATCTCCATATCCTTCTTGTATTGCCTAAGGATTATTACTTAATAATTTCTTGTCTTGGTTATTATGGTCGTATTTATTCTAAAATCAATGTTATTTGAACTCTGTGTAACAGAGGAATGGCAGACGAAATAAACACATGGCGTCAGGAAGACCCCCATATGAAAAATGAAATTTTCAAGAATTATTATAAAGGATAAGAAAAAAAGCAAATGGTTGAAGCCATATTATCAATGAACCGAACTGACATCATTTTCGTAGCATTTTTCATCTCGTGCATATTGTAGCTGCACTTTACTAACATGATTAATTTTCTCCAATTAAAACAAAGTAAACCTAATTAAATTAATTTTGGTGTCTAATAGTATGTCATTAGTGCATTAGCACTTTGAGTAACCTTGGGCTAGTTAGATAGAGTATAAAGCCCATTTTGGGTATTTTTTTAATTTTACACCAGACTAGATCCAATATGGCTAGTACATTCCCTTAACATTCCAGTCAACCAAGGTGGTTTTCATCTACACTATTTCGTATTTTTCTTGAATACATCAAGCAGCGAAATCTATTGCACTGATTCTGTATTTTCAAAATAACGTTTAAACGTTTATGCAAAAACATACATTAAAGGCGATTATTGATCTTTTTAAAATTCTTTTTCTTGTAATTTTGTTGTAGGACATCGATTCCACGATGTTTCTGTAAATGTCAACGTACCAGAAAGTGTGCAAAGTTTTTCTTGTGGCTTCTTTCCTGGACCAGCTTCAAATGGAGACCGCCTCCTGTTTCTTTGTGAGAATGGTGCCGTGGGTGAAAGTGTCACAATTATCATGAATGATAGAAATGGACAAAAGAGTTATCTTCATGTGTGTGAAGTAGAGGTTTTCGGAAAACGTTAACACTGCTTCAAACACATGGTAACATTTAAACACCAAAATCAGTAACACAATTCCCAACGAGCAATATACGACGGCTTTGGTTTTCATACATCTTCACACGAGACATTCCGAGAATAGAACGAGGATAATGAAAAACATGGAAAGGATAATTATACTGATGAAGATAAACATAAATAACTATAGACATGTTTGTTTAGAATATTTTCACGTGTATCAACAAAGTTAAAAGCAAATTAAAAGTAAATTTTATTTGAATGGACCGTCGTATAATCGTAGTTATAAGATGAATGAATTTATCAAATATATAATTGAATTATCATAGTTTATGTAACTAAAAAAATAAGATAATGTTCGTTTGTAAAATATAGTTAAATGCACATTTTTGAAATAAATACATTGCAACATATGGCACATACTTAAAAGATGAATTCTACCGTTTTGAAATAAATTTTCCTTTTTTGAGTATTTTCTTTTCTAATTTTCTTTGGACAAAAAGTCTTTTTGAGAAAGATTTTGCCTTTTTAAACTAGGTGATTTAACTGTTTTGTCCTATCTTAAACTAAATGGATTATGGTCCTCATTTTTAACTATAATTACCTCACGAAAAATGATATGTTCGCAGGACTATGGTTGTAGGGTAAAGAAGAACATTAACATTTTGGAGAATTATGTTTCAGTTGTCCAATATCTATGTACTAAAGAGGGTTTTTTGTAGTTAAAGATATAGAAACCAAAGTTCGATGCATATGTGTATGAAATACAAGGTGTGAATGATCTTCAACTTGAAATATGGTGACACACAAATCTGGTTCTGTTGTGACAAAGAATACCATACAGTAAAACTTCTCTAAACCGGCCAGCTGCCATACTGAATAAAATGGCCGGACTAGAGGGGTGGCCGGTTTCCCGAGAATCTAACATTGTGAAGAATTGCAGAACTATGTTACAGATGCTAGGAAAAATATATTATAATTGGTGTCTGTTATCTGTCAACATGTTATTAATTATCGGCAGACATTTAATGTATTCTAAAGGTCTAAAAGAAATTGTAAAATATCATTAGTGAGGATAAATTTGACATACGTGTTGATTTTTATAAAAAGAAATAAAGAAATAAACAAAACATTGAAAGTTACTTTTAATCTTTTTACCATATACGAAGAAATAAACCAAACCCTTTACCTTTACTAGAGTCTATACAGTGTACTGCATGTATCTGTCTATCGCTTACGTCATTAAAAAAATTAGTTGAACTTCAGTGTAAAGTGAATAATTAAATCATTTCTGAGCAAAATTTCTATTATTTTAATTATGGAATGTATATTTTGATAAATGTTTTATTTGATCTTTTCCTGGCATTTTTTAAACAGTGTCCAATTCTAAGGCCGCTTATGTGTGTTTAAAAAGATGATGCAATATGGCGTTGATTCATTCTGTGATTTAAATACACCAGTTGCTTGATATTTTATTAATTCAAGTTTAATTGATGTTTAATCATATTGACACAACTAAAACCGGCCATTTACGTAGCCTGGCAAGCTGACTACCCCTTCAAGACAGTCAAACAATAGAAAACAATAGAAAACCCTATGAGGCCATATCAGTTTTTCACACCATTGACTTTTGGTGGGTAGCATTATTTTTCACACCTCCGTCCGGTCATTATTACCCCTCTGGCCAATGACAGTTATATTTCTTGAGGTGAAATTTCCTAGGTTTTTTAACCTTTGTGTCTTGTGTCCGGTTTTCAGGGGTGGCCGGTTTTATGAGAGTTTCTGTGTAAAGAATTGTTAGGAATTTTGCCGGGACTTATAAATTCTTATAAACTTATAAATTCGGCCGATGTTCAGGGAGAACCGGTTTCCAGGGGGGGGGCGGTTTGGAGAAGTTTCACTGTATTAACTTCGTTGATTCCTTTGTTAGCATACTAAAATTTATCAAAAAGTAACAAAAATACGGTTAAACATCTTAACCTTGTGGTATTTTCTGATGAAAGCAAGTACATGTCCGAGGGTCATTCAAAAAGTTCGTAGACTTTTGTCCTAATTTTTTTATTAAACGTCACATTATATCCAAAATTGGTACAAATATTTTAACAACAGATTCGAATAATTTGAGTAAAAAAAATGGAATATATCTTCTTATTTATTAAAATTACCAGGGATTTAGATCAGCAAAAATGGGGTCACGGAGCACCGTCAAAATTGAGTAATTTACTAATTTTCACTTCATAGTATTTACAGCCATACCTCTAATAAATGGAGCCGAAACGAAATAAAATTTACATGTTTAAATAAAGTATTGCTGTGTTAATTAAATTGAAATCAGGTTATGTAATATGTCGCTCGAATTTAAAAGATATGTTTCTAAATACATATGGACTTGATTAAAAAAAGCAAAAAACCATGACGTTGGAGGACGTCACGGAGCAGCAAGTAGCAATAAACTTGTACTTTACATTCGAGAAACTTCTTCTACAAGCTTAAAAAAATCCGTATAAACCAGGATCTGTATGAAAAATAATCTGTGTATTTGTATTAAATGGAAAATACAATTTTTTGAATGGTAGCGAGTTTGAATCGGACGATGGATTGTCTGCAAAGAAACAAGTTAAAGTTAAAAATATTGTCGAAAGAGTTAGGAACGTCAATGAACGTGATGTGTGCTGCACTGTTGCAGAATTAATAGAGTTACATGGTTAATTAAAGAATTTGAAAACAATGACATTCTTATTCAAGCTATATTTGTACAATTGTTCGCAAACTAGGTGTTAAGTGTTATGAATATGTTTTTGAATGGAGAAGACGCTACAAACCGTGTTTGAAATTAAGAAAATTAGTGTAATTTTGACAAACTTTCTCAACGTTGTCTTTGACGTTACAATGTTGGTTAACCGGGCTCCGTGTTAACAAAGCATGTTGGTTTAAATTTTGGCTAACATAAGTTCTTTTTAATCAAATGGAATGAAAACTTCACACTTCGAAAAAATAAATGTTTATGTTTACGAAAATGTGTTTATCTATAATCTTGTAATAATTATATGACGATGAGAAGCATTGTCTACGTATTTTTTAAATGACCCTCGTATGTGAGAAATGAGTCATTATGAGGCTTTTCTGCATGAATCTTAGAGATTTACTAAACTAGTGATATATTTCCAGAATACTCCTCCTTCATGTCATATTCTTTAATGATTAATCATATTCATCTACCCAACTTATATTACAGCCATTTTCATAACTTGTTATGAACATTACAATAAAAGATTAAGTAAAGACAAAGTACGGTATCTTCTTCTTTAATCATATTTTTGTTAAACTTTAATTCTTTAAATGTGATATAATTTTTTCATGAAGCGTTTGTGTGCTTCAAGAAATGTGTTGTGTGATTGACACACCAATAATTCACACAAAACTTTAAAACATTCCTTATATTAACAATATGAATGTTTGAAAGCACAAAAAAATTACTCAGTATATGAATGTATCTCTGCCTTATCTCGTTGCATTTTTACTGGCGTCACTGTTGCCTCATTGTTCTCCGTGTACATTTCTACGTGTGAGTATACAAAAAAAACGGAATTCAAGTCAATTTTACAATTGGCTTAGTAGCAAAAAAAGTAAATGTAAATATATGGAGATAACAAAAATTAAATTCAACTTCATGTCATTATAAAATGATGCAAGGGAAGTTAATTAAAGTTTAGCTTCCCATTTCCTAACTTATTGCATTTTTATAAGATTTTTTCTTCTTGTAATATTTATACAGGAAAGTGATTACATTATGTTTCTGTGAGTGTAAACAAACCAGAGATTGGGCGAAATTATTCATTTGGCTTTTATCCTTGGCCGGCGAAAAATGGCGACAGCTTCCTGTTTCTGTGTGAAAATAACACCATGGGTAAAAGTGTTACCTTATGTTCTTATTCGTACCACTCAAACGAACATAAATAATTTATAAAATAAACACAAACACGTATATTAGGATGTGAAGCGCTCTGATAGTGCAGTTTACTTATAATACACAGATTGTTACAAATACATATCAATCTTCTTTAATTGTCTTCCTTTCTACAAAATAAAACAAGATTTTTAAATATAAAATCTTTTTAAAACAAGTAAAGCAAGGGCGGGTGGGTGGGGATTCAGTTATATGCACTAAAAAGAGCCTTCGAATGGCTTTAGAATATTCTGTGCTAACAGCGGTCAGTTAAAACCCGTGCAATGAATATTTAAATGTCACCTGACAAGGTGACCAGCATTACAGCCAATAGATTACAGATATAAATAAACACGAACACGTGTTATTAGCAACATTGATAAATACATTTATGTTCTTATTCGTACCACTCAAACGAAC